GTGTGTGTGTGTGTGAGACACACGCACTGGTAAAACTGTTTTATTGTTGGATTGTCTGAGCTCATGTGTTTTCGCTGTCTGCAATAAGACTAAAGATGCTTTGATTTTGAATCTACTCATCTGGGTGGAATAGGGGCTGTTGTGGTGAAAATCCAAAGCACACCCGCAGCTTCTGAACGTTTGTTAGACACCCTTCTGTGGAAGCCCATTCTCGCAATGGATAAGATCTTCGCGTCATGCACAAATGCTCAGGTCTCAGGAGTATTACATATCGGGCTTGCGGCAGTTCTAGGGTCTACAGGTTTACGGGCTTAGTGTTCACAGTCGCAGTTGTTTACTGTCTTTGTGTTGAGGGTTTAGGGTATATGGTGTATATGTGTGGAGGGCAGTCGTTGAGGGTTTAGTGTATACGAGGGTGTAGGGTACATAATATATATGTGGGTGGCTTTCAGGGTTTATTGGTTTGTGGGGTTATGGGTTTAGTGTTTAGTGTTTATGGGATTAGATCATTAGAGTTTATGGGTGTAGGGTTTATGAGCTTGGGGTTTTGATTTCAGACAGACCCTAAGAGGCCTTTGGGTTTACAGATCGAGTGTGTACATGGTTTATTTTTTTGGGGTAAACCCGGTTTATGGTTTATGGGCTTGTGGATTTATGGGCTAAGTGTGTGTGGACCTAGCATTTCTGGTTCTGGGGCCTCTAAGGATTTAGGTTTTACGGCGTTGAGCGCAGGTCTCTTGGGTTGTGGTGAGCGAATGTGAGATTTTAGTCGCAAGACTCAGGGAGGTTGTTGAGGACGTCGGTCTCCTCGAGTTCTGCAACCTAAGTCTCACGTTCGCTCCCTACGTCATGGAGACCAACGAGCTCGACGATGCGGATAGGGTGGTGCCACTCTGGCACGTAGTCCCCTGCAATAACCCATGCCATATGTCTCGTGGAATCTGAGGGTCATCTGAGGGCCTGAGCCCAGGCCGAAACAGGGGAAAAAGGACCCCATACGAGGACCCAGGGCCTGGGCGTGTAAAGTCAACTGTCGGTCCACCCAACAGTCAAAGTCCAAAGGTACCTAGCCCTGGCCGCTGGTCAAGCACACACACTTGTTTGTATGCAGGTACGCAGACAGCATCAGGTCCAAGGGAGAACTCTGCAACTGTACAATCCAGGCCTTCAGCTGTGAGTCGATCTGGAGGACTGTGGGGAAAAGCAGCGAGGCCAGACAGCCTCGATAATTGCTACTTAAGGCTGGCCTCGAGTGAGTCAAGCATTCAGTCTTGCTATGCTGCTTTGACGCTGGCTTGACTTTGACTAAACGCTGGCATTATGCTGGCGCGAAGCTGGCTAGACGCTGGCTGTGTTCAGGCGATGCGGATGACAGTACGAGGCGGAGGCAGCATGCTGGCGCTTTCTGCCTTGTGCGCCAGGCTTGCTGAGGTGGCATGCTGATGTGGCGCTACCTCTGGTCTACATTGCATGCTGATGTGGCACTACTTTTGGTCTACATTACATGATGACGTAGCGCTACTACTGGTCTACATTGCATGATGATGTGGCGCTACTACTGGTCTACATTGCATGATGATGTGGCGCTGCTTCGGGTCTACATTGCATGATGATGTGGCACTGCCACTAGCCTTCATTGATGATGTGGCGTATGCCACCTGTCTTGACTGCTGACGTGGCATTGTCCACGCCGTTTACATGAGGTGACTGGTTGCTAGGAGGAGGAAGATCGGGATCTGTGGATGAAGGAGGTTGGGTACTCACCTGAGGTTGATGTCGTCATTGGAATCTGCTATGTCTTCATGGTCTTCACGAGATAAAGTGCCACGTGGCACTATTGGGTGTGATCAGGACTGCTCGTTATCATTGTTGACGTGGAGAGGGAAGAAGCCCGGAGAAGGAGAGGGATCTGAAGGGATAATTATTGTGTGATCTTTCATCTTCTCCTTTGTCTGTTCCCCCTCCACTCTCTTTCTGATGGTAATGAGATACTGTTTGAGATATCACTTCTCGACCCGGAGACTTTGATGCAGATAATGAGACTACTGATGTTTGACGACTTCTGAGTATCGGCCAGACTGGGTTCATTACACCCCTTTCGCTGTCAACTTAATGAGTGATGTGCTAGAGTGAGTATGCCCTCATGAGCCTTCTGGAAGCTGGTCTGTTTGTTGTGGTTGCGTCCCTAGGGGGTTCAGCTTCCCCCGTGGACTTCCAGGCATTCGACAAGTCCCACAGCGAGTCGGCCATCATTAGCTTTTCCTGGTACCTACGTTTCATCCTTTGAACAAAAAAAAAAGGCTGCAATCTATTGGTGGGGAGAAGCACGTGCTGGGAAAGTGAGATCATTACGCAGATAGTCGAGGGAAGGTGGATATGAATGTTCAACAGGATGACTGACGATGTGTTGTGTGGCATTTCACATTTTGTGCATGCTTGTCTTTCCTTGCCCAGGTGGACAGACTTCAATCAGAAAATGAGCAGTTGAGAGCTGTAAGTCTTTCTCTTCTTCTTTTTCTCCTCCTTCCTTCTTCCTTTTCTTCTTCCTTTTCTTCTTCCTTTTCTTCTTCTTCTTCTTCCTTGTTCTTTCTTCCTTCTTCCTTCTTCCTTTTTCCTCCTCCTCCCTTCTTCTTTCTTCTTCTTCTTCTTCTTCTTCTTCTTCTTCTTCTTCTTCTTCTTCTTCTTCTTCTTCTTCTTCTTCTTCTTCTTCTTCCTCCTCCTCCTCCTCCTCTTCCTTACTTCCTTCCTCCTCCTCCTCGTCCTCCTCATCCTCCTCCTCCTCCTTCTATACTGTAGCGTATGTGCTGAAATCTCTAATGGTGGGTGTTGCAGATTTTCTCCTGACTGTCTTGCCTACATTCTCAGACTATATGTCATTTCATCAGTATGTGTCAGCACTTTTCTTTTCTTTTCTTTTCTTTTTTTTGTTCTTTTTACATTCATCAATGCAAAGGACGTTGGACAAGCAGCATATAATTGCATGGTTCGGCGGCGGCTGTATTTTCTTTTTGTTTTTGTTTTCGATTAGACGGCCCCTTCTTTTCCCGACATCCCTCTTCCTTTGTTGATAGTGTTTTTGTTCTTTTGTTTCCTTCCCTCCCCCCCTCCCCCCCCCTTCCAGGGGGCGGCGGAGGGAACAGGACCTCGTTGGCCCTGCCCTGCTCTATATATCCATTCTAGCAAAGCATTAGCCTGGTTCCTATTCCAGCGGGGCAGGTCTCATTGTACTTTCCCTCACAGTTGACTCCTCCTTGGGACGCAATCAAATGCCGCTTGGTGTACCTGATGGTGGTCCCCACCTGTACAATGAGACCAAGAGCCCGGGTTCCTATTCCAGCGGCAGGTCTTTCCGACCTGCCGCTGGAATAGGAACCCGGGCTCTTGGTCTCATTGTACAGGTGGGGACCACCATCAGGTACACCAAGCGGCATTTGATTGCGTCCCAAGGAGGGGTCGACTGTGAGGGAAAAGTAGAATCAGACCTGCCCCTGCCGCTGGAATAGGAACCCGGGCTCTTGGTCTCATTGTACAGGTGGGGACCACCATCAGGTACACCAAGCGGCATTTGATTGCGTCCCAAGGAGGGGTCGACTGTGAGGGAAAAGTAGAATCAGACCTGCCCCGCTGGAATAGGAACCGGAGTATTTTCCCTCACGACGCCTCCCCATGTTACAGCCCAAGGATTGCATAGAATGTACCGGTGGGGACCACCATCAGGATCCCTAACGGCATGTGATTGCGTCCCAAGGAGGGGTCGACTGTGAGGGAAAATAGTCCGAGTACCGGTAGCCTGGTTCCCGGTCTCGAAGCATATTCAAAGTCTCTGCGAGAAAATACGCCGAGTACCTGTTGCCCGGTCCTAGGACATGCCAAAACTCACTCTTGTATATGTCTCTATACCAGATTGACTCGGGAAGGGGGTCGAAGAGGGGGGGTGAGAAAGGGAAGGGCAACAAGCTGACAGTCAGTCCTTCAAGATGGAGCAACCAATGCTGTTCAGGGGTCCTTTCGCAAAACGGCCTGAAGCGTGAGGGTATATATTATCTCTTGTAACAAATATGACTACCGTCTTCACCGGAATAGGACGCCCGGCCATCATAGCCGTATCTGGTGTGATTTTCAGTCCAGACACGGCTTCAATGACCGGGCTTTCTATTCGGGTGACGACGGTAGCCGGTGGAAAAGGAACCAGATTGATACTCTCCGGAATGGACATGGAGTGGGGACCACAAGGACCAGTTTTGTCAGGGGTGAAAAAACAAAGAAAATAGTAAAATACACTCAGAAATTGTGAGAATTTCTGAGATCTGTGAAGCCAGTTAAAGGAGGACATAAAGTAGAGACCCTGAACAGGGCCAGGTTCTCTGAACCTACTGCATGATGGCCAGAGCGCTCACTGAGACGTATGTGAATGGGACGCCGGGCAGCACGTGCTGCTCCCCACGAATAGATTGGAGCCTTGTTCCCCCCCCAAAAAAAAAAGAAGAAGAAGAAAAGAAAAGAAAAGAAAAGAATGGCTCTTTTACGCCTATGTTGGAACTGTCACTCAGTCCTCCCTACATCATCCTGTCTGACTCAGAGCACAACACACGCTCATCACGAATGTGTACTTCTTTCTGGTGTGATACAGTCATCATGTTGGGGGTGGGGGGGGAGGAGGGAAGGGGGGGAAGACTGGTAGCGCGTTCGTTCAAGCCCAGCAGCAGCCTTCAGCCGCATTTGTGGTGTTTTTTTTTTTTTTTTTCTGCTGCCGCTTGGTGTATGTGGTGGTGGCCCCAAGCCTGTGTCTTCTCCTTTCCCACGACTGCCCTGGATGGCCCTCAGTGTCTGCATCCAGTCCTCAACTCCGTCTTCATACTCTTTTCCTCCCTTTCTCTTTTCTCCTGTCTGCCACTCCTTCGCTCAATCTTTTCTTTTCTTTTTTTCTTTCTTAAAAAAAAAAAAACAAAAAAACAAAAAAAAAACAGAACCTCCTGGTTCTGGCTCCTACCATTCTGGGGAGCAACATTGCGTCTGTGTGTGTTTTGTGTTCGCTCTCTCGTCTGTGTGGTTGCCTTCGCTCTCCTTTTTCCTCCCTCTCTCTCTTTTTTTTTTTTTTTTTTTTTGTGTGTGTGTGTGTGTTTTGTGTTCGCTCTCTCGTCTGTATGGTTGCCTCGTTCTGCTGCCACTTCTTACCTCTTTCAGCAATCCTCCGCTTCTTCTTCCCGTCCGTGCTCTCCTCTGTATGTACTATGTATCCATCCAGTCCGCTCTTCTTCCACCGGCACATGTCCAGTAGCAGACTGCAAGGCATTTCCCCCCCCCCCGCCCCCCCACCCAGCCTCCCCCACCCTCTCCTCTCATCCTCTCCATCTTCAGCATAACTAGTTTTCCCGAAAAGAGAAAAAACAAAACAGTTATTCGAATTTTGATCTTATTTCTGATGTTCAGATGGTGATGTCCTCTGTTCCTGATTGCCACTGCAGCTTCTGAGACACGAGAATGAGATCGCAGCTCTGAGAGACGAGAACGCAGCATTGAAGCGCTTTCTAACAGAGGTCTTGGACGTGGAGGTGGATGGCTTTCGCACTTTCTCGTCAGGCTCACAGGATGACATGGTCCTCAGCCGGCTGAGGTGTTTTGAGTGCCGAAGGCGACAGAGACGTCGATGACTCCATCCATGTCCTCCTCCCCATGCAATCCCGCCTCTTCTTTTCCGCTGTCCACTCTCTTTTTCTCCTGCTGCTGTCGTTCTCAATGGGCACGTCTCGTACATGGATGGCATTGCGTGCGAGCGTCGAACGACATCGCGCGAAGGCAGCGGACTCAAGAAGATAGGTATTATGTCTGTCTTGAGTGCATCTGGCCCTTACCTCGGGTTGGGTACGTGCAGGAAAGCGTTGGTGTGATCAATGTCCTTAGTTTGAGAAAGAAGCATCTCCTGTCCTGTGATTTGTCGGATGGATGGAGCGATTCCGCTGACGAGCCCATGGGAGTCGTTGCCGAGGTGGTAAATGTCATGCGTCATGCGCTCCCGAAGAAATGGAATCCTCTTCTCGCGATCGGGGACGATATGTTTTGACAAACACGACAAAGCGACTCTGGGAAAAAGCAGAAAAAGCATGAAGTGCAGCAGCACCGAGTGAGTCGTCAGAGACACTGGCTTCAAGCAGTCGACATCTTGATTGATGGTGCGACCGCACGCAAACATTGGCATTGACTCCTGAGGAGTTGTTCCTCCCGACCTTCAAGATTGATTGCGCTCCCCAAGTTACAGATTTGGATTCGATTGCCATCGTGTTTGTTCAATGATACAACAACACGGACGATGCACACAGAATATTTACTTGCTTCGAAGTCCAATCTTGTCTATCTGATGAGCTATCCACATCCGTCCGTCGCATCAGTCTATGCCTCGATCCATCCGTCCCGGCAATCCTCTCTCTCTCTCTCTCTCTCTCTCTCTCTCTCTCTCTCTCTCTCTCTCTCTCTCTCTC